AAGCCTGCGCGAAAATAAGAAGCCCAGCGCGCCGCTCCGCTCTTCCACAACCTGCAGCTGTCCTGATTCCATTTATAGCGCACAAACTAACTTAGGTTCGACGCGTTATTTCAGCCGCACTTGCACGCTCGTGCATCATAGAAAAGTCTCGGTGTTCGCCGCATGACACTACGACAGATGGTCCAAGCATGTCTGCTTTCTACGTTTCTATTTTTCAAACATGTCTAGACTCTACAGACAGACCATGTATGATCAATGGCACCGTCATACAAGGCAGAAACAAGCGTCAGACTTGATCTGGAGTCTTGTGAAGGCTGTTTAAGTACGTATCAAAAAGAGGCGCTTATACGAAATAACGATAATAATTATAATAAACGCTCACGGAACTTTAAACCTGGTAACGCGTTTTCTAAACAACGAAAAGTTTACTGTTTTTTGGGTTGTTGTTGTTCTGCCAAAAAGGAAGGCAATACCAAAAGTAGAAAGACACTTAAGACTGCTAACGTGTTGGAATGCGAAAGCATTCGTATACGTAGCGTATTCCTTCCTACAAGCTGCGCGCAGCGCTGAGCCCGGCCGAGCGCCCTCTGCGGCCGGCCGCAACGGTCGCTCTGCAATAAAGCCCGGCCACCCTCTCGATCTTACCGGCGGCCGGGCCGCTGCGCCATGGAGAGGGCTTCTCTGTGGGGTGGCGTTCTTGGGAACTACGCCACGCGCCAGCCAATGGGAGTCTATCCATGAATTCGCTGCTACAGACTTACAGCTTTTGCTCCATGGAGCAGGGGACTTTAGGTGCCGTTTGGCGCGGCTTCAAAAGCTGATAACGCCGGTTCGCTCCTGGGTCAGTTAATGCTTTTGCATTAAAAATAGTTGGGTAAGTTGCGCTAACGGGAGATGACGGACTGCGTCGTGTGCTTCTTGGCGTACGCTGACGTTACTTAGCGCACGCGAGTGGCTTGACGCGTTCATAACCGTGGTGCAGTTTTTCGTTTTCTTTTTTTCTTTGTTGAGTCAGGCGAGGTAGAAAAGTATTGAGTGGAAGCGAAAGACTCTTCGCAGACAATCGAAATGGCCTCCTGATATGGTCCGAATTTTCGCGAAAACGTGTTTGTGTAACAACGTCACGCAGGCGTCGTCATCGTGACTACACCTTCGAGAAGAGGCGAGGATAATCTTAAATGGACCGCTCTGTGGAGCAGGACACTCGTATGACTCGCATGATCACGCCACGTATTCGTAGGCATTAGCCGTGCATACGTGGACGCGACCATGGCACGTCGAATTTCGACACGACGATTGTGATTGGGTGGGAGGGGAAGAAGCGGAGGGATCTCGGTGCGCGTGATCGGTTCCCTCTCCCATTCAATGCGCTGCTGTCGTTTCCACGCAAACGCAGCCACCGTCCGTTTTTGGTTGTTTCTCGTTTTCGAGGCTTCAGAGTCGCTCCCACTCGCTTGCTGTTGCTGTTCTCTAAATCATAAATTAGATTTACTTAGTAACAGAAAACTCAAGAAACGCCGGATGTGGTCTATGACGTTCACGCTTCGTGGTCCTTTCTTCAGCGTTCGACCAACGCTGGCATCTCATTGGACGTGGATCGATAATGTGAATCTCCGGGCTAGCCACGCCTTGTGCTACTTAAGCTTTCCAATTACTATACTTTCTCGCTGTCCTTGTTACAAAGTGAAAGCACCCGCGTGGGTTGACAGCTCAAGAAATGTTTCTTAAGCTGTCAATACGCTCACCATCTAAGTTCTTCCAGTCGTTTTCAGGCCATCCGATTCCTCTAAAAACCACGCCTTCCCACCGTCATCGCCGCCCATACCGCCGCAGCGTACAAATTCCAACGCCCCTTTACTGCACCCCCTATATATAAATATATATATATATATATATATATATATATATATATATATATATATATATATATATATATATATATATATATATATATATATATATATATATATATATATATATATATATATATATATATATATATATATATATATATTATATTCCGGGGATCCTCCATCGGGGCTTCTCATTAAGCCGGAATGTCCGTCCTGACAACACCTGGGTTGGAACGCCGCGAGCCCGTCCCGGGATCTGTCTCCCTTCATTATATTGAGGGCATTCCTCGAACTCCCTTCCCATCGTTCTTATATTATTTACCGTTCTTCCTCCTCCGTTTTGTATTTCTTTTTTTTTTTTTCTTTTTTTTTTGTGTTATTTTTAACGTTTTTCAGATCCCGGACGCGAACGCCTACATCCCCGCTGCGTTTTTCCCCCTCCTCTCAATAACAAAAGGTCGTGGTTGTTGTTTTTTTCAGCGTCGAAACAATAAGCAGGGCGTACAGACTTCCCAGTTTTAACCGAGAAATGCCGGCAGACGTCCGTCGGTGAGAAAAAATCAAACCCGGTTAAAACACTAAAAAAAGACCTCCGATAAACGTCTGCCGCTCTGAAAAATAAAGGATTAGATCAAACCGAAAAACACCGATTTCTCGAAATTTCTACTCCAGCAAGAACTGTATCTTTGTCGAAACCCTCGACTCTCTCTGACCTAATTTTTTTTTTCGTGCATTTTTTTTTTCACTGATAATCACCGTTTTTAGCGTCTGTCCGAAACAGACCACCGAAATACACCGATATTGGACGAAAAAAGATATATGAACACCGCTAAACGCCCGCCGAATTCTCATAAATAAACACCGGAAAATCTACAGCGCATCGTTATAACTTATAAGGGCATTCGCTCGGCTGTTCTTCGCCCATGAAGTCTCCCCAAAAAGAACGGCACAATGGTTATGGGCGCGAGCTCTTCTCTTTCGTTCATCTCTTTAATTTGTTGTTCCTTATTTTTGTTTTCCTCGTCCCGAATTATGTCAGTCCGTTCTCCTCGCGCCCGTTTATGGCCTGCGCTGTCGTTGTAAGGAACGACGCGCTGCCAGATCGCCGGACGTTCTAACGACCGAGGCAAAAGTTCGTCTACTATACGGTACGACCCTTTCAACGAGCCTCTTCCTCGGCATTGCGGAATCGTTTGAAAGTCCGTGTGCGATCGCGTGACGAGCTTTATAAGGGTGTGCTGTGCGTAGACGAGTTTAGTCCGTTTCAATCAAAAGTTTCTAGCCGCTGCCATCTTCGGCGTTTGCGCATAAAGCGCGCGTAACTTGCTCGCGTTCTAATGCCACGGCAAGGCGGGCGCGTGCTCGGCTGTGGGTTTGCAGATGACGCTATTCTTCCCACCCAAGGCTCCCGAAGAACGCGCTTTATCGCGTGACGACGCGCCCGCTCAATACCCCCCATAAGACGAGCCCTGCGCACGACGTCAACGTTAGCAGATCCCCGATTCCCGTGTGCCAAACGCGCTAAAGCTCGGCAGGAGTATGCCGCAAAGAAGAAGACGCCTGCGTCTGGAGTCGTCCCGCGAAGCCTGGCAGATCGCCACGAAAAGCGGCCGCCGAAATGGAAAAGGTGGAGCGGCAGACAACGGATGAGAGGAGAGCCACGTGACTGGCGCCCCTCAGCGGCGTGACGCCGAAACACACTTCTCCCGAGTGAACAAGTGTGTTGTGGGTCCTTTTCGCTGCAAAAAGCTGTGCGCTGACGTCCAGGTTCTCCGAGAAATGGCTCTTTGATGCTCTGTGCTACCAGATCCTCGCGCTCCAAATCTGCGACCGGGCCGTCGTCGAACTGCCAGGCTTTGTGAGTATAGAGGAGGAGGCTATGGCGTCGCACTCCTTGTGAGACGCTGCAACACGCGCTGACGGCGACGATGACGCGAGCAAGACAGCGCTGCATGAATCCACTAGGGATATGACGTTTGGGGCCAAAGGCTGAGGCCTTATGCTTTAGGCGGTATTGATCCGCTACACTTGCTGGTGAAAACTGGCGGCCGTAAAAGGAACCTTCGTAGCGGTGAGAGGTCTCCTTCCCCTAGAACCACAAACAACAAACACTGCTCGTAGATGCGGCCCCCTTAATGTGCCTTGTTATACTTCGTTTGACCTTAAGTCCAGACGCAGCCGGCTAATGGGACCAACCAGCAGCGACAAAAGCGCAAACGTTTTTGTTTTTGTTTTTTTTATTGTGCTCTTTTTGTTTATGATTGGTTCTGCGATGACAGAAGGCGTACGGCGATGGTGCGCTTTTCACGCTGTCTCATTTATCCGATCAGCTCGTAGCGTCGGCTGCGTCTGCACTTAAAATAAAACAAAGTATAAGAACTCTTTTTTTTTTATCGCCTGACCTTTACAAGTTTGCCAGAAAAAGGGCATGCCTGAGCAACAGACGTTAATGCCGAAGGTCGCTCCGGTCGCCATAACTCTACAGTAAAGTTGTGGACGCGCGTGTGACGCATCAGTATAGCGCCGCCGCGCAGCGCGCGCCTACGCGCCGCGCTGAAGGGGGCCGGATTCCCCGAACTTTCGAGTCTAGAGGAATCAAAAAAGGCCCCTCTGGCCCGCCGCGGGCACTTGCGGCAGTAGCAGTGGCAGTAGTAGACTAGTCCCCGAGCCCAGAATGGTAATGAACCCTTCCATCCGGTTTCCTGGATGGACTGGCTGATGCGCCGAGGCGGACAACGAAGTTGAACTCCACGAGGTGAACTCCACGAGGTCTGCCGAAGACAAACACGGAGCCATTTTATATTCCGTCACCACCTGGCGCCGAGACCTAGCCACAGTGGCGATAGGTGGCGCAAGCCACCGCCCAATTTTATAAGGTTGAGCGGTGTGCATCCACCCATCAGTCATAAACCAGCGACGAAGGGCGTTCGTCCGTTCTAGACTGTATTTTGTCTCGCGCCTGCTTTTGTCCACGACTCTCTCCTCCAGCCGGAATCAGACGAAAATCCACACGCCGCTGCCACAAATGACAAAAGGCAACTCCGCACAAGCCTCCGCGCTACCCGAATAACTCGCCTCTTGCTCGTCGGGTGCGACTGCCAAAGGTTGCAGCCGAGCCGTCTCTGCATATGTTTCCACGCCACTCACCTGTAGCAGTTCCTTGACGACCTGGTAGCGTTGTCGCTCGTCCGGTATGTCCTCGAGCTTTCGTGTCATCCGTCCGAGCAGCCTCTGAACGACCCCGGCAGTCTGGAGGATGTCACCTCCCAGGAGCGACTTGGTCCTCGTGATCACTTCAAGCTCCACGGCCAAGCTGACAACCGAATCGCCGTCTTCCGTCTGCAAGACCGAAAAAAACAGAAAAGGACAAGACGAGGACCAAGGTCAAACGACAGCTCGAAAACCAGTTGTGGCCATGGCCCCTTCGGGAGGAGGTGGGGTACCATTGAGACAACCGCGGTACAAAGGGGCTTCCTTGTTCAACTCGTTCGCGTCGTGTTTATTGATGTTCAAAGGACCGCCACTTGGCGTGACCGTGCGTCTCGATGCGTTCCGAGAACTACAGTCGAATTGAATCTGCACGCTTGCTACGCAACTCCCCGCCTTATTATTATTACTATTATTATTTATGTTTATATTTGCCGTGTGTAGCATCGGCGTGCATCCGGCGAATACATACACCGCTATGGTGGTTTTTGTTTGCTGCTCTAGATTCTAAGTTTTGACTTTTATATATCTTGAAAACGCCAACCGTCTTAACTCGGACAAGACCGCACTGCAGGAAGGAATTTGTTATAATAAATGAGAAGGCAGAAAGTCAGCTTCCCTCCCCCCTTTTCAGCTTTCACCTCTAATACTCAGCGAGATTTTTAATAGCGCAAAGTGATAGTTTTCAAAAGACATTTTGATGCCCGAACGTTTGTAGCACAACTTGCTCGAGAAGCTATGTAGTGCTTATACACCTTCCCAGTACTTATCAAGAATGCTAAAAATGCATAGCCACTAAACTGCGCATGTCCACAAGGCGTTCTACAGCCCGGTACACCAAGATGGGAGCGTCCAGAGGGCCATCCTTGGAATGGCGATTAGGTTCCTATCGTTAGAGTCGGTCCTAATGACCTTCACGAAACCACGGTATCACTCAGAGTCAGAATACAAGAATACTACAACGTTTACCGAGGAAAATTTAAGACAAGTCCGAGCACTGCCATTTCGAAACTTGAGCCTCGAGGCACCTTACCCTGGATTTTAGGTTCTCCATCCAGACGGAGTAGCAGGCGCTCAAGTCGGGAACGTCCGATTCCCACGATGGCGGATTTCCCGGTGCGCAGTTCCATCTCGCGTGACCTGTACATTTAACGAACAAAGTGTAAGGGCGCAAGTGAGCAGCTGTAAGTTCATCCTTGTCGAATTACCCGAGACTGCGGCGACGACAGGAAAACGACAGGAAGAAGGAAAGGGGTCTCAAACACAGCTAAAGTTTATTGTCAAACAATCCACTTATCGTGGGTGTGAACTAAAAAATAAAGTGGGGAAAGGGAGAAATGGGGAAGACGCGAACCCGCCAGCGAAGCTCTCTCCAGGACAAAGCCGCCATGGAACTGAAAACCTAAAGTTTCCAGAGTTTCCGGGTAAGCCCCGTGTCTTGAGATTTTGAGGTTGCACATAGGACAGAGGCCATCAGACTCCTCGATAGATCTCAAGAGCTATTAGCGAGAATGGTTTCTCGCAGTCTGTGGAAGGGTCCGAACCACTAGCACTGTCCATGACTGACTATCAATGGTATTGTAGATTCTATTTGTAATAAAACAACTGGAAACCCGAATCTACAGATGGCTTCCACTGACGCCACATCAGCTATCACCGTGGTGGCCTTGCCCTTGAGCGCGCACTTTTTGCAGCCTACATTTTGCACAACATTTTTTTTTCTCGGCAAGAACAAGTAGGAAAGAACACTGGCATGGCACGACGACGTCACATGCAAGGGACAGAAACTTATATGACAAAGACATTCTCTTTAAAGTGTCTGGCCCCTCATCCGCTCATGTTTCTTTATCTCCCTTTCTTCCTTCCGCAGTCTGGGACTTCTAAACGTCCGGAAATGCTAACCTCGCATAACGTACCGTGTGAATCAACGCGGGTTGAGTAAACGCAGCAAAAACATACGATGAATATTGTCATCCGGCAGCTTTTTATGTATACCAGAGTCGGCGGCGCGTTCCTGACAATACCGAAGGTCACGCGTTTTAATTGTGTCATGCATGAAGGCGCCGATGATGATCGAAACGGCAAGGATCTTTCTCAGTCGCCAAAGTATCAGGATGGAATCTCTTCGCAATGGTCAACACGAAGCTGGAGACAAGGACGTCCCGTACCTATGGCTCCATTGGGACACCGCTGGACAGCCACGTCACCGGCACGTGTCCAGTTCCAGAAGCTGTTTCTGGACTGCATCGGCGGACAAAAGTCCCGGTGCAGTAAGGGGAAGCCACTCTCGGCGGCCACCGCTCTGTCAGGATCCTGGTAACGTCCTGGTGGAACACAAAGAGAGGATCTATAACACCATGCGTGGTTCATACTTAATGAATGGCCCAGGCGTAAATAGCGGTAGTAAATGACGAGTGTCAAATAATGACGAGGCCATTATAGAACCACTGAAGCCGGAGTCGCTCTGCTCATACATCCTCCAGAGTGTCTGCAAACTGTCGTTTGTATGATGTATAGCAGCGTGAGGCGGCTTTAACTGTGCATTTGTCCCTTTGTGATCCTGCGTCTTGTCAACATGATAGAGTATACAATGTCCTGCTATCACCACAGTGAATTGGCAATGCGCGTCTCCTTGTCGCAAACGTACAGGCTATTCATCCTTCGTGCCACCTCAAGTCCAGACGCAACGACGCCACGAGCTGATCGTACCAATCAGACGTCGTCAAAAGCGCACTATCATTAAGTTCGTCATGTTTCTGTATACGTGTTCTATCATGAACCAATCATAAACAAAAAATGCCTGATGACTTGCGATCTCGACGCTGCTAGATTAACCCCATTGCCTCGTAGCGTCGGCTGAAACGAAGTATAGATCCCTTCCTTAGACGACGTGTCCAAATTTTAACCGAGTCAACGTAAGGCAGTCTGTAGCTTGTCTTATTTCGCTATGGAGCAAAAGGCATGAAAACGAGCGGCACCTTTTGACATTAAAATCTCATAGAGTTTAGCTGTTACGTCAGTCAGCCTGGACCAAGGTTGCCAAGGACGCTAAGTTGAGGGTTCAGGCTAACAAGAGAGTCACCCGCGTGTGCTACAGACCTTGCACGGTGTTGCATCTATACATTCAGTGCACAAATTTCATCGGCGTACGGCGCTTGCACGATGATACATCTAACAAACAACGAGCAAGAACAATCACCTAAAAAGCGCGGACACCAACGGCGCGTACGAATTAAAAATGCTTCGGTATACGGCTGGCGCAAGAGCGGCCAACTCCAGTCCCTAATTAGGCCACACCGACGGCCGCCGCACAGCTCGAAAACGGACGCCCTCCCCGTTCGCTCCCCGACGACAGTTTCGCAACATCCGGGTCCTTCGGCCTAACGGCCACAGCACCTGCCGAAGATACTCTCGTGGAAAACGTGCGATAATGAAAAGCATTCTCGCACGCGCCGGCTGCGCTGCCCGCCTCCCTCCGCTGCCAGCTTCTAATTTCCCATCCACAAACGAATGTGATAACCGGCGTCTCGTCAAATGAAAATCGCGAGATACGAAAGGGAGGCGGAGGGGAAGGGGGCCACTAACGAGTTCTTCCCAACCAGAGTAATGGCCGCCAGCGTGCGCCATAGGCACCCCAACGAACGCGATGCGTCGTCCCTAGACTGAACCTAGGACAGCCCGAACTAAAGTATGGTCAAAGCCTCCGCCGCCGCGAGACGCATTGCACTGATCGGCGATTAGCGCCAATTATAAGCGACGGCGCTCGCGATTCGGAAAATTCCGCATGCAGCTGGGGACTGCCATTACGGCCTGGAAACGAGCTCCAATAATGGTTTCTTTCCCTGCGGAAGGGGTTTTCTGCACTTGGTTCACAGACGGCGCGACAGTCGCTACCTTTTCGCAATCTGGCCACCCCTCTTAAAGAGCTCAGGTGCCGTCTGCATGGTTTTTACGCTTGGACCACCACGCAAGGTGGCTGCCGGCGAGTTAGTAGCGCGCGTGCTTTGCATATAGATTAAAGATGGAGGCTGCATACGGCCAGGGCATTTGCGTAAGAGGGTATTAACGTCCCACCGAATGATGCCACAGCCTCTAGGACGAATGCATTACCTTGAACCACTTGAGATCTGCGATTCTGCGTGGTTCGCGCGTACTTGGTGCAAATAGTTTTTTTTTTTTATGTGCATTTGGAAATTGAAGAGATGAATCGAGCTAGCGTCTGTTCCCACGTTTGTCGTCTGTAGAATCTCTTCAGGCTGCGTTATCTAATGAGAAAGGAATGAGCAGGCACAAGTGCAGTGCCTTAGACTGTAATTTGAACGCAGGCGCACGGCCGGTACTTAAAAGAAGCCTAAGCAACGAAAGAGATGCCATTTTCACACCGGAGGTCACAGGACTATAAAGGAGGCATCCTGTCGCTCGTAACATAGGAGTGAAATTTTACTTTAGGGACCAATATTTGAAGCGGTCTTAAAGCAACGCTAAACCTTTTACGGCAATTCCCACCGACGACTGCTAATCGTACCGTAACCTGTTAATGACGGCAAAACAAAAAATGATGAGAGTCTTACCTCTTCCTAAAGGTGGAACGTCGTTGGGGATAGGCCTATCCGTCGAAGACACCGCACCGAACCTTCCGCCCCAACCGTCGCCGCCCACGGTCGTCGAAGACGCTTCCTCATCTTCAGACATCGTCCCAGACTTGGGAACGGCTTTCCGCCTCTCGGTCTCCGTCGCCGTCTCGGGCCTCTTCTGGTCCTTATGGGACCCGTTATGGTGCCGGTCTCGGTCAAAGCTCTGTCCTGGACCTTGTGGTCTTGCAGAGGACCGCTCAACTACCGGCGGCGCAGACGTCGTTGTGGATGTCGTAGGCGTTACAGACATCGTTGTCGATGAGGATGGGATGCGGCGGTCGCCGAACGTGTTCCTGGTTGTGGATGGCACGGCTGGACTTGGCGGCGATGTTGGCATTAATGGCGCGGGTGGCCTTTGGTACTGCGTGGCTGGGATGATGATATGCGGGCGCGCTGTGGTTGACGTTGTCGACGTCGAGAATGGCGTCGTGCTCGAAGTTGTCGTAGGAGACTCTGAGACAGGTTGAGGTAGAGGGACGCGATGGAGGAGAAACGTTAGACGGATCGCAGAGGAAGACCACAAAATAGCATTGTGGGTCATGCTCATTCCTGTTAAGTTTCCTTCTTTTTCTTATAATTTGGCAGCCCAACAGTTTAAATATGTTAGAAATATTTAAATGTGTGCAATTTACGGCTTTCTAGGTTTGAAGGAATCTATTACAATGAATGAGAGATCATTTAATGATCGATCTAATAAGTATGGCTGTGCTCTCCGTGGAAGTTACTTTTCCTATATTTGTTTTGTGAGTTACATTAAAGATGCGCGCAAAGTTGGCGTGATTCCTGAATACATATCCTCAATACATGACCTAGCAATCGAATATATTTCCTTGTAACACTACTGCCTTCAAGCATCCTTTATATGGTAATGGTTCGGTGATGGGTAAATCGCTAACGTACGCCTATCCAGACCTATTTTCTACAAAAATGTTCCGACTAATTTACGTTAGTCGTTGGGCTGCCATTCGCTACGTGTCTTAACGCATACTGGCATCAATAGCACTTTGAAATAGCGCGCTGCGACGTAGACCAACTTTGTTCGTCAGTATAACACCTCCCATGATGTTGGGTAGTAGAACACTGAGCATCATCAGTGAATGGCTATTGAGCAGGCACCAACTGCTTGACAGCAAAGCACCGTCTCTACAAGTGTCTGACAAATGAAAGTTGATCTACTCGCGCGTGATCGTCGTCATTGACAAAAATCTGATACAGCTTCTGTCACGGGAACATGTCGTTTTGTATCATCTTCATGTTAACTGGACAAATGAAAGGTAATGACCATGAAAATTTTCTTTACGTGGAAGTATGATAAACTCTTCATTTGATAATATACCACATGGGCCTGATGACAATTTGCTCAAACTTTATGAAGTTTGAGAACGTGTGCGTGTGCACGTCTAATGTGACCATCGATGTGCACGGCATTTCCCGTAGAAAAGCGATATGAGATTTCTATGAATGGGCATGTGACGACAAGAAATGAACAAAAGGTGTGTGATTGCAATCGGTGATGATGAGAAGCATGCGAAAGATGAGAAAAGCGGTGAAGCATTCCAAAGCCAGACGAGACGCAGCAGCAGCATGCACTTAAAAAAAACAGTACTACTGACTTCTCTTCGGTCTTTCAAATTAAACTCTAATGACGTTCGGTATGTGCTAGAATCGCGCAAACATGTGCATAGAGCGCCTCTTGCACACTTCCTCGCGGTAAATCCCTGGTTGTTGAAACGCAACGCCTCAAACACGCACTCGCACGCACACACACACTCAGACACAAACGCACCAACACACATACACGAACACAGAAGCAGCAGGCAGAATGAGGCGACTCCCAAGCTCGAGGTTGCGGACGAAAGGCACATGCTCAGCCAACAACGCACACATCAGACACACGCACGCACGCACGCGCTAAGCGCAGACGAAAACAGCGCAAAAACCAAGGAAAACAAAAAGTGTCGATGGCAGCTATAAACTCGCCGGTATACCACCCCAAAAACAAGGTGTACCGAACGAAGAGGGTTTTCGAGGAAACACAGGCCAGAAGGAAGCAGACAGGAAAACGATTCATGCCTGGGTACAGTGCTCCTCGTACTTGGCTGGAACGACCGTTGTTCATGCCCATAGGTCACCCGAAACGCGCAGCGGCTGCGGCTTCTAATGTCGCGAGGTCAACTACCCTCCTTAACCCGGCGGAGATTCTGCCGTTGGTGCAAACATAACGGCATTGAAAAGTTAAGGCAAATTAACACATCTATAGAATATATGTAGAAGAAATTGGTGAAGCTCTTCGGTTTCATCAACATCCTCAGATAATACAGACGTGGGCAATTAATATAACCGCGATGTCTCGCAGATCTCACAAAGTGAAGCAATCAACTGGAAGCTGCGCAGTGTTTCGACTGCCTGGGATCTTGAAAACAAATGCCACACAAATGCCTCACAGGTCCTTTGCAAGGAGAAAAAAAAAAGATGATGAACCAACTCTTCATTAAATTATGGTACAAATGCAGTACTTAATTTAAACCTACATGATACCTACTATCGGTCCATTTATGCTTCCGGTCTTCTAATGGATAACTGCGATTTAGAACGTCGCTAGTAACTGAGCCAGCTGGCTTGTCCCCTTGACAACTCTCGCCGCAAACCGCGGTGAAACAGCGCGGCTCGCGTGTTCCAGTTAAGCTAGAGGAGCACCTAGAACGCGACAAGGACACGAACGCTCCGGCATGGGGCCAGTACCTGCGATGCACTGGTAGTGCGCCTCCAGGTACTTGAAGGTACCCGGGCAGGGATCGCCAAAGAGGGCGGTGGAAGCGGGTAGACTGCATTGTCTCTGCATACCGCAGCTTCAGAGAAAAACGAAAGGGTGCCGGAGTTTTAGTACCTGCGACCCGACCCATACCAACACCTCCCAGATAAACAAGACCGTAGGGCTGAATTTCTAACGACAGCTGAACAGGCAAACGCGAGGCACCGACTGGCGAGGAGTGCCACGCTATCTGGAACGTATCTTCGTCTGGTGCATGGTGGAAGAGAGAGAGAAAGTTGACTGAACGGCACCGCCTCCCCGCGGAGCAAGTGTGTTGAAGATTCGCTCCCATTTCTGACAAATGTCGTGAGATGGCGCAACACGACAAGAGCTCGAGGAACCGTCCTTATTCGCCCACAGGTTTTCAAGGCAGGCGCGACGGCGCCTGCGCGCCGAGCCCCGACCCAACAGTGTCCTGCCGGGAGATGCGGGAAGCCTGAGTGGAATCTCGAGCCTTGTTCCGACACTTCTCTCTTCTTCCACCGTGACCTGGGGATAACCCCTTGTGTGTTTAGCGTCCTATCGCGCCGTCAAAAGTGGTTCCGAATCGGCAATAAATGACGTCACAGAAGTCGGCCTTGTCATGCTGTCGCACGTGGCGATCCTGGCGGTTGGGGCTAAAAGTGCCGGCAACAATTACGAGCCAACGCGCGTGGCGCTGTCGTCGCGGAGTCCCAACTCCTTCTGCGGCAGAACAGACGGCTGCCACGTATACACCACCGGTATACCGTGACACTGCCACGATCGCGGCCGGCCACAAACATGGCACTTCTACGACGTCATCTGGCGGAAATAAGGGACCACTTTTGAGGACGCGGTGAACACACCGGTCGGAGACGCGTTCCAGGCAGCGTACGAGCGCAGCGTACGGCTGAGACTCCTGCCCTCAGTGATAGCAGACAAGTTCCAGCCAAATGTCCACGCAGCGCCCGTGACCAATCCGTGCACTGCGTTGGCCTTCTTTAGGTGACGTAGAAACTCCAGCCCTCCGGCCTTGTTATCCAGAAGCTGTTGCCCATGTACGTCGGTTGTATGCGAACACTTTTTGTTCTCAGTGGTGGACGCGCGGACAAATAATGCGCGGGGAGATGGAAACACTACAAAGAAAAACGCCGCGTCATCGCGGTGCCCAGAGGAAAGGTTACCATTGCTGCCGTTGCTACGTCCTCACGTCAGTTCCCCAATGCGTTCCGCAACTAAGATATTCTACGGCCTGACGAATTCTTGTGTTTGTTTAGCATTTCGCATGCAGAGTTACGTCATTTATTGAAAACGTTATCCGAGCGTTCTTTGTTTGTTTGTTTTGTTTTGTTTTTTTTTAGATTTCCCGTCAGGTCCAAGGACAGCGCTGACAACTTCTCCAGCCACCGGTGAAGGCGCTTTCTCTAATTTCAGATTGTTATATTGGTAATCCTCTCCTACCTAAAAGCCTCCACGAGTCTCCCTAGTTTTGAGAAAAGTTCCCGCCACGAAACGAAGTATATTCGTTCAGCGGCGCTTCTGTTCGACGCCAGTTAATGTTTGCTCAAACACTGCCTTCATTTTAATGAGGCGGACGCGTGTGCCACTAAATCAGCAGACGAAAATTTTTAAATCTCACCGTAGGCGCTAAAAAAAAAAAAAAAAGTCCATTAGACACTGCTTCAATACATCACGGAACCACGCCAAGCCCCTCCCCCTGTGTTATCGCCGCAGAACCATCGGACTCTCCCCAAATTAGTCCTCGAATCAGGGAAGGGAACAACCACTTCCCTTTCCTCCGCACGTTACACGGAAGGACCTTGCACCCCCCCTCCCTCTTCTGACTGTCCTCTCCTTCCTTCTTACAAGTACAACACTGTTCAACGGTCACGCTCCATCAGTTCCTTAATCACTCGTGATGGCGCTCCGCAGTTTCGGGACCATCCCTAATTGTAGGTCCCCGAGATGGAACCGAACCGAAGGGTCCGTGCCAACGAACCCTTCAACTCCAGGCGAGGCTTAGAATCGACTCGCCGAGCGTCGTACCATGACCGTGTTTACGATTAGGCTTAGGGGGGGCGGTGGCGCTTCCAGATCGACAACGCATGTTTCGGGAGGTCGCCTAGGGAAAGTAGGGGAAGGCGCCCTCCCGCCGCGGCCCCCCGACGACCGACATACGCAGCAATGGCGTCTGTGTGTCTGTGAAAGAGTGCGGGGAGGCGGATTAACGAGAGGGGAGGTCTGTTCAATTAATCCCATTCCACCGAACCTTAATTCTCGGGACCGTTAATCCGAGAGCGTTGCTCCGTGCCCCTAATCCCGCGGATTGCGAAGCTGAAAATGTGACCGGAGGCGTTCCCGCTGGGAACGTTCCAGAAGTTAAGGGCGTCTTCTTTATTTTGTATTTTTGTTGTAGCGCTATTCTAATTTGTATATATTCGCCGGAAGTCGTAGTTGCCCTCAAGATAGCATCAGAAAGGCTTCGTTCACATCAGCTGTAAGAGGGTCAGTGGTTCGGGCGTCTGCTAACGCTGTTGGGTTCTATCAAGGAACACCCTGCCCTCAAACTATCACCTCCTGTCCTATCACTTGTCTAATTGTAGATGGGAGTTCGTGAATTAAAGGTATCGCTTGATGACACCATGTTTTAGTATCTTTTACGTTGTCATTGCGTTGTTTAGTTAGATCTCTTCGTCGCTTTGTGCATTATATCGCCGGGCTACATCAGCCACCCCAACTGTTACAAGGCTGGTAGAATTTGAATTATTATTACCAAGAGGCACGGGCTTTAAGGGCCAGTACTGTGAAATGAATCGCGAGCCTTATTCATTGCGCAATCTTATTTTATTTCATTGGGGAATAACCTCGTACCCGCGGTACACAAAAGAAAGAAAAAAACTGAATTGGAGGAATTGATTAAGGAAATATGTCGGGCAGCTTTTCCCTCTGTCTGCTACAAACACAGATAGTACCGCTATCTGGTTAATTTATTCATTTCGTCTGCCAGCATTGGACTCAACGTGGAGAACTTAGCAACGTAGCAAGGGTTCTACAAACTCATAGCAGTGGACTATTTTACATGGACACACAAGAAATAACAGCAGAGCCACCTAGACAACAACTTCAAAACGCAGACATCGCAGAAGCAATTGAATTACTTCAGAAGCGGTTTTTTTAAAACAACATAAATTCCCTCAAAACAAAAATAAAATTTAAGTTTAGATGTATAACTACGTGACCCAGTTTCGCAAAAATGCGTCACATGGTTATGTTGTCTAGGGGGCGCTGCCAACGCTGTACCTTAACCTGGTCTGAGCGTCGTCGAAAGACGGCAGAAAGTTCGTTAGTCTGCTGCTTATAAACGTAACCAAGCGTTGCGAAGACGTACTACAGGAATTTCGTCAGACGGTCAGGCTTGCAACCCACGAGGGTCGTCACATATCTCTGTCACCTTGGTTTGCTGCGACCCTGCTAGAGGCTCCAGATTGCTTTGAGTGTCCGCTGATTCAGTAAACACGAACTAACCCAATATTCGTTCGCCTGTCTCCACTATGCTCGTTTTCACCTCCAAAAAAAGAAAGTTGAGCAAGTTTTGAGCGTTGTTCATACACCACGCGAAAAAGTTCTTACAGGTTTTGGGTGTTGGAGGAAGAAGTGGTGCTTTTGGCGTTTGTAACGCGTACGTCTGGATGAGATAACAATCTATATAATCCAGAAGGCAGCTACATATATTTTAAGTATATATATACATAAAGGAGTATAAATTAGGAATGGTGCGCGAGGAGCCGGACCTCTTTATACTACGGTACCTGAGGTGACAACGAGTACAGTCTCTGAATAGTGCCACGACACCGCGATTTCGATGTTTTGCTTGCTGCAAAAAAAGTCCCTATATTATTTGTTTTTAATCCAACAGTAGTTATGCAAAAATAATAATGAAAGAAAGAAGAGCTCACTCAGAAGATCGCTAATTTGTACGGCCACTATTTTAAGAGAAACGAGCGTATTAATCGATAGGTGGAGAAACCACGGCGAGCAGTGATTCCAGCTTACACAGTTCGTTCACAATAAGAAACATAAACGCGAGAGAGCACCGATTCGATCAACGAAAAGGTTCCAGTTACGTTACTTCGCGGATTACTTGGAGCGAAATTGAAACCTCACTGGGTGGCGCAAGCTGCCTTCCAATTCAGCCTCCACGAGTCGTCTATTTGGTAGGTAATGACTCTGCAATGATTCGAGCGGTACGCCTGCGCAACGTTTGGACACAGTGAGTAATGACAAAAGAAGTCGCAAAGCGTCAACATGACGGCGTCTGCGAGCGGAGGACCCGGTGAGAGCGAAGCGATGACGGTGATGTGTCGGGTGTAATATTACTCCCCGTGGGGAGCAAACCAACCTAGCTGACAGCGGAACTGCACCTCTAAGTACTTAAAGGTGCCAGGGCAAGGGTCACCGAAGGTCAGGCTGTCCACAAGGACCCGACAACTGGTGTTCAGGTGACACCTGGGGTGCAAACACATCCGCTAAGCACTCCGACGTCACGGCACCAAACGAAACGCAAGTCGCGTAAGGCGAAATAATTAAACATTCTCTTGCTAGGTGAAAAAAAAAATATATATATATATATATGCAATTTTACACAAGTCATATACGATGCTAACAACCAAAACATGTTTCTGCTAAAATACATAATCTTGTAAAATGTATAACGATACAAACAAAGTTAGCGAATCAGAACAAATGTTCAACCTATTTTGGTACCGGGAAAATAATTGTTCGACTAACAAGTTAGGAAATAAACATTTGCTTTTATATTCATCCAAGTTTGTCCTAAAACGGGTTGCTATCTAGACAAACAAAATGCTTGCATTACGTGTAAAAAGAAAATTGAGAAGTAAATTTTTCGTGACTTTGGAGCGATTACTGCTCCAAAGCTGATCGCATTTTTCCTTTGAGCTTTAGAGCATATATTATATCGCCTACATGTTCCGCTTTCCGAATGAAAAAAAAAAAAAAAAAAACGCAAAATGGTCCGTCTGAAAAATAAAGAAGATTAGCCGACGTACACATACATATTGCACAAAAACACATATTCTTTGCATAAAACAACAATCACTCATGAAAACGATCCAATCATGGCAAAGTAACGACAATTAAACAAAACTAAGGCCCAGAGTTGTTCCCGGTTAGGGATTGGCAGCAAATTCCCTTTTTGTTGAGCAGCACAGGAAGATTAAATACATACTTTTGTTCATTCGTTACCTACTTAGGTTTCCTAGGGCTAAGCACCGGGAATGAACCAAACCAAAAGATCACCTTTTTTTTAACATTTCACCCGTTATACCATCCATCCACTAGCGTTTTTTGTGTTGGTGGGTCACAAAAGTCGAGTTCAATGCACCAAACGGCGCTCAAACCACCAGGCTAAATTATGAACACAAGGTCTGTCTTCAGTAGCTAAAGCAGACCGAAACTCTTACAGGCCAATTAAACCGCGTCAAGAACTACATCCAAGCTCATGCGAGCACTGTGAGCAACAACAGTCTGTCTTCTTTCTTCTGCAAAAAAAGACGCTATCGAAAGGGTGTTTTTACGGGCTTTCACTCTAAAAGGATGTTTTTTACGGCCTTGTACTCCATTGGAAAGGGTGTTTTTACGGGCTTTCACGCCGCTCGAGAAGAGTGTTACGTCAAGGTCAGTGCCCATCGACCATTCGAGCGTCACTCTAAAGATAAACTTCAAAAGCTTTCGCGATCGAAGAGTACATAAAACGGCTAATAAAGAAAAAAAACGACGAATCCAGCCGATAGGCATCTTAAAGTATAGGAGTCCACAGCGAACGAAGAAGATAACGAGTACACCCCGACGAGTTTGTTGATAAGAAAGATCTGAACTTAAAAGTTCCAATTCCGTTCTAGGATAAAGTCAACTAGACCCCTTCCCCTTTTTTTTACCCCATTAACATAAAAATAACAAAAAAAACTGAAATTATCGAAAAATGAGCGTAACATTTAAATAAAATAAACACACATCCAAACAAGAGCAATTCTAATTTTATCACTGCCGGGGTAAAAAAGAAGAAAAAAAATAGTCGAGGCGAATGAATTAAATCGAGATCGCAGGAATCGCCGACACTCCAAATTGGAACCTAAGCTGCCAAAAAAAAAAAGAACAAAAAACAAAGATCGATAATAAAATTTAAATTGGAGAGTGTCAAGTGCGTTCCGCGCGTGTGTGTGCGCGCGTGCGTGTGAGAAATATAATTCTATCCAATTTCGTTTGTTATTTATGACTTCAAAATTCCCCACCACTCAATCAGGCAAGATAAATTGGTTCAACTGCGGGGACACTCACGTTGGAATGAGATATATATAGTTCCAAAACGTCCAACCGAAGTTGCGCGTATTCAAACGTGTTTCGCTGCCGTCCCGTAAGGTTATTTTAAAAAGCAAAAATTCGAGCTTCGACGCAGGAGCATTAACATGAAGGCTAACATACAGAATTCAATCAAAGTTGGAGTTATTTTGTGTGTGTTTGTGTGTGTGCTTAATTTGTGTGTATTGGTTTAACAGACGTGGAAGAAAAAGTATAAATACAAAATAGAGATGTGAGTTCAGCGCGGTGTGTATGTTGTGCGTTTGTCCTATAGATACTAGTGTGTGTGTGATTGTGTGCCCTGTGAAGGTTAGTAATCCGAAATCACCCACCTCGATCCCTTCTTCACCTGTGCTGAACTAAGTTCACGGTCAATTAATGATATTAACTAACTCACCGTAACCTCGCGCACCACCACATGCCAATGCGAGATCTCGAAACGAAAGCTGATCGTAGACCGATGAACCAATATGGCGTATCCTATATGGACCCTTTCTTTGAGGGCACCGCCATCTTGAAAATTGCTGCGCCGACGACGCCGTCTCGCGGCTTAAAGCTCGAAATACCGGTTGGTTCTGGCAGCAGAGCTATCCGGGTAGGCAACGCTGTGCGTACATGGGGAACTTGGCTAGACTTGGCTATGGTGGGATACAATAAGTTGGCCGGAACTGGGCCGGTTGAATCGAGCTGGCTAATGACAGGCCATCACGATGCCTCCACGAGAGACCAGGGGGCAATCCAAAAATGCACCTGGACGACGGTATACGTTACCTAAGCGCTGGTATGTTGTCATCCGAAAAAAAGGTCTATAGACGAGAGAAAAAAAAAGTTTGTGTGTGTGTGTGTGTGTGGGGGGGGGGGGGGGGGGGCACGCCCTAAATAAGCCAATGTATGGAGTGCCCATGTAACTTCACGAAGGTATATTTGGGTAGTGCATTCATCATACTCAAATTTCGTGAGTGTAGGTTTCAGGGAAAATGAAACAGAACCAAAAAAAGAAAATCGGCGACTGGATGGTGCAGACTGACTCACACATGATATCAGACCATGCTCGGATCTCTGCTGCATCCGCTTTGAGGTTCCCCCTCCCCTCAGAAAAAAAAAAAAAAAAGAAGAAGAGATTTATTAAGGTTTTGTTATATATGGTATAGTGCCGTCTGTGGGTTTTTGCGTCGACCAGGCGGTTTCATTCTGTTTTTCTCCCCGTGCAAAGGGAAAACAAGATTTCCTTGGCTTCAATTTTTTTTCTTCATAAAAAACCCAAACTCACGAAATTCGATTATGACAAATACGTACATTGCGCCAACTAAAAACACCTTAAACAACGTGTCGTTGCCCCCCCCCCCCCCCCCCCCTTTCCTTACAATGGTTCCTTAGTATGGTCTTATTTAGCCTGCAGTGAAATCGCAGATCACACTGCTCATAGATCGGACAAAAGACACGTACGATCTTCGCTGCACATGTCGTGACAGAATTGTGCCTGCCGGCACACCCTCAGTCATGTTCGGAGCATGTTTGCCTCGCACATGCTTAGAACATGCCTGCAGGCAGTTTCCATGCGACCGACATGACGTCATGTGAGGAGGAAGCGCGCCTCGAGACATCGTCTGGAGGCTGTCTTACGTGTGAACGTGTTAGCGGTGGGACCCCGCCGCTTTAGAGGACCTACACAACATCCCCGGCACGACCCCTAAATACGTAAACGCACAAAAGTTAAAAAAAAAAAAATCAGGAAGAATGCGTTTGATAAAAAAAAGAAAAAAAAAGTACGCGAGATTCGGAAAAAAATAAAAGCTTAATTAAATCGTTAAGCGCGATGTAGCCGGGGACTGACGTTATCTTCGGCGCATTAACCGAAACTTAAGGAGTGACGCCTCCCACGTGAAAAAAAGGAAACAATAACGAGAAGAGAAAAAAAAGCGACGTGTCTTCGACGCTTTAGGGAGAGAAGATCCGATAAACTCGACGAGACTTTTCCAAGATTAGTGAGCAGTCGACGGATTCGTCTTCTTTCACCTTTCTTTTTTGGCGCTGATTGTGGAAGTTTATTTACGAATTTTTTCGGCGATGCCCTTCGAGCGAGCGAACAAAACACAAAAAGAACAGACGGCGAACTCCGGTCAACCATCGGAGCTGCGAGCTTGTACAGTCGAGTTCAGTCACCTCAAAGTCTTATCTAGGGGCCAGTCCGAAAACTAGTTTGAAACATCTTTCTTTGCTGCTCACTTTAATTCTAACTATTTCACGCATCGCCGCTAAAATGCCCGTTCTTGACGCCGCAGCGCGCCACGGATGCCACTAATTGGCTTTTCGTTTAAGTTTTGTTTATAGGACGCGTCCATTCGCAGATTGGGCTCTTCTTGTATTTCTTTTTCTCTCTTTTTACCAGCCATGAATAGTAGACGCTCTTATCGCCTTCTCGAAGGAATGGAAATTGCGTAGTTAAGGCGGATGGACGTAAAACTGAACACGGCTCGCCTCACACTGGGTGCTTGCAAGCGCCGCCTAGTGGGGGTCACGGGCACTAGTTACCACAAGGAGCCGGGTCAGTGACCCCAAAACAAAACAACGAAATATGACTCGTGGACCGCGACGCCTAAGACCTGACCCTGGTGACATAATGAGATGTGTAAAACGTGATTGAAATTAAAGAAAAGAGCCGATGAACCTCCCAAGAAAGAGTTGAACTGAACAAAACACACATTTACGAGTTTTGTTCAATTCCTTTGTTCCTAATGACCGACACGCACGACGAACCCAGTCGCGATTTTCGTCCGCGTACCACGTGACCGTCACGTGACGTAAGCAATTTGTGAGATCCGTGACGCGTCCACGGGCGCGCGGAGTAAAGTGACCCAGCGCCTTTTCCCTCGCGGCCTTTTGGCGTGTGACTGGCTTGAAAAGCGTTCAGTTTGGCCACAGTACAACGTTTCATTTGTTTTGTTGTTTTTCTTGACGATTAAAACTAAGATGACGCATTATTGTGTTTTGTGCGTTCGCTGGTTCGTTTTGTCGCGCGATTCTTGCTTCCACGCGTGAAAGGAGCTGCAGGAACTTTGCCCGGCTGACGCGACGCAGGTTCCGGTAGTCATCTGGGTCCGTCTCAAGAAGCTTCTGTGAAAACTAAT